TTATCAAGGAAAAACGCATGCATTTTCTAGGAAGTTTCCTTACAATCCTGTAATGATAATGCCATCAATTCACGTCTCTGCAAGCCTTGATAATGCTTCTTTAGATTTCCGGGAGTTGTCTTATGAATAGAAATCACAGATATATTTTGTGGTTAAAGGTGTTTTTAGCTTTCGGTTCTTCTGAATGCTAAGCTCTGATGGTACAGTATGGTCACTATGGCTGTCTTGAAGAGAAAAGAGATTATAAGGGATAAAGGGGAAATCCCTTTTACTCCGTGGGATTGATAATGGAAATCATTAGTTGTTTGTAGCCTGTTTAGTATATAAAGCATTGATGTACATAATATGCGGTTAAATAAAGAGATTATTTGGAATTTCTTTTAAATGCCTACCCTCAAATTCCGAAAATTCCTCAAAAAACCTTTACAACACATTAAAAGCATTGTTTAATAATGTTGAGTCTGAGATGCACGAACCTCATGTTATCAGTGTCTGTGATATGGTGTAATATTGAAGCCCTGATAAAAGATTGCGCTTCAAAATGATCAAGAAGTGCCTCAAAAAAGTACAAATCTTTGAGTGTCGGTTTTACCATACTACCATATTTGCCGGCGTAAAGGCCGCAGTATTTTTGGAAGAGAAAATATCAAAAAGTCGGGGTGCGGCCTTTACAACGAAAGAGTAAAAAAAAAAAAAAACGTAAGTCAAAACCAGCACAAATTTGCCCATATGGGACTACAAACGGTAAAATAACTGTACCACTATGGTACAGGACATTTTCAAACATCTTACCGACAATTTTATCTTGCATTGTTGACATGAAGACGAAAATAACTTCCTAAAACAACATTTGTCGATATATATCTTGATCTAAGTTTGTGCCATTGCATTGCAAAAGTAATTAAGGAAGGGACTGTTTAACGGACCTCCCGCGAAGCATCCATCCGAAGTCATTATTTTGTTTTTCCATTTCATGCCATTTCGCATTTCACCGTACATTGTGGTAGGGGTATATCGCACACCAAATCTGCTTGCGATCACTTTTTTAGCTAAACTTCCGGTAAATTATAAGAATATTGATGAATTTGGTATCAGTTTGTAAAAAAAAATAGTGTTTTAACTTTTAAGAGAAAATTACAATTATTTTTTCCTCTTGGAAATGTCAAAGTTGGGGTGCGGCCTTATCGCCGGCAAAAACGGTACTTGTTTTCCCCAATAGACTAGTGTTATGAAAATAGTTTGGCAAACACAAAACTTGGTTTCAATATCCAATCATAAATATCTTGATAATCAGACAGGCAATCCGCTTGTAAAGGTCATGGGGTTCCTGACTGGCCTAAAGGTTTCTAATTATCATTGCGAGCTGAGCTAAATCAAGGATTTGTTAATTTTGTTTAAAGGATCTAAAGACAAAGTTACCGGATCCCTTTAAGACTAAGCCTTCTACAAAAGTGCTATGAAGTACCATGACACACAAGCATCATGCAGAGCTTCCTATCAACCAGAAGATAGTATGACAATGGGAATGCATGCCTGATTCTCAATAGGACCGTGGAGTATCCCATTGATACAAGCAGTCAAGCTCTACTTAATACTAGAGATCTCAGTTCCACATTGGACTATTGTATTGTCAGGATGTGCGCTCGTTAGAGATGACCCCTAGAGGCTACATGTACACGCAAGGTTTGCCATGGCATGAAATAGGCCTTGCTCAAATCAATATATGATGAACGTAAGACTATGCGTTCGTCTATTAACATTTGCAGATTACATAACTGTTACATTGTCTCTTCAGGAGGATGTTTTTATTTGTTTATTTCATTTCATTTATAAAAAAACATTACAGTAAACATACAAACATGATATACATGGTACATGTGTATACAGATTTTTACAAAGGGAAGGAGCAAACAATTTTTTATGGGAATGTGGGGTTAACAAAAAGGGCAATTGGCCTTTGAACGTCAACCCCTTTAAAAGTATATGCTGTATTGTTGAGAAAAGAAAAAAAGGAAAAGAAAAGCAGAGAAAACCTGAACACCAATACAAAAGAAAACAAAAGGGTAGGAGAATACATGTACATTATAAAGTGCATTTATTGAAGCGTTACATCATTTAAAGGCCCACTGCACTACTTGTAGCTACTTGCGCCCTCTATATAACAAACAATGCCTAATCGGTGACCATTGGTCCCCCATGATCCTCTTTTTCTTATGTTAACTGAGAGCTGAGTTGATGAGATAACCACCTGTCCAGTGACCTTGCAGGGCAATCTAATCCCTCCTATAAACTATGGCAGATAAGCTTTAATTTGCGCTAAGGGAACTTAAAGCATGTGTGTTTGTGTGTATTTGGGTTTTTAACAGACTAGTATCATTCAGAGATTATTGTTTACAACTGGGGACCAACTTTTAACATCACCATCCGAAAGCTGTGACCTGGTTTCAAACCAGGGTCCATGTGAGTCAATTTGTAGAGCTGACCACTACTAGACTAACTTCCATCTCCCTTGTAAGGTTGTTAATTCTGTGTACCACATTGAAAGCTCCATTTTGAACCACAACACCAAAAACTGTTAAAAAACACTTTAATGTTTGCGAGCAAACTCTGTATTACCATTTCTGGTTACATGAAGGGCAACAAACCTACAGTTACATGTACTTAAACAACTTTTCAAAGGTTATGATGGATTGCATGCATAGAAGGTCCAGCATTTCCAAGACTCTCTGTACATAGCGGGACTGGAGTAGCACGACTTCTTTGATCTGTTACGCCCACAGTTCCAGAGTAAGATTATTACAGAAAACATTTGACTGTATACACAACCATTGTTGAACTGGAATAGCTGCACCTTTGAGTTCTTTGGCTGAAGTTTATTTTGAAATTCAGTTGAGTCCTCGCTATGTATGTCGTTGTCATGGACTAGTTTCACTGCGGCAGTTATGTGAAAACTGTTAGTTGTGCTGGAAGTTGCTAAGTTCATTTCAGAAGTGTGAGATCTTCAAATAGACGGAATAGTATTGATTTCAGTTTTCGCAACAGTTTAGAAATTAATTGTGAGCTCTGGCATAAAATGTAGCGTTGAATGGCATTGAATGGCATTTAACTTTGAGAGAATAAGTTTGCTCTGAGTAATTTGTTCATTATGCAGGTGACGGGTTTTTGACCGTGAAATAGAAAAAAGTTTTGACTTCAGTTTTAAAAACAATTTAATATACGTGCATATTCACCTCTGGTGTACATTGTAGATTTGAATAGTTTGAGTGAAGCGTGCTGTGAGTGCAATGCAGTTGATGTGTTTGGACCATGAGAGAAAAACGGATCGAGTTGAGTTTTAACAACAGATTAAAGATTATCTTCACCTTATTGACAACTTAAAGATAGACTGTAATTTTGAGAGCTCTGGCATAGAATTGAAAGGCAATTGGAATGAACTTACTGTACCCTGTGTAATTTGTTTACCGGTAAATGAAGCAGTCGATGGGTCTTTTTGACCAGATTCTAGGAGCTACTTTCTGACTCAAGTAATTACGCTGTTTTCTAGCTTTTGTCCTATTCACCTTCTGACATCACTGTACATTTCTAGATTTACTGCAATCTTGAAAATTAAATGGCTTTAGTGAGAAGTAAATGGCTTAAGTGAGAAACTTGGCAGAAGTAAAATGTTCTAAATGGCTTATTATGCAATAGGATAGCTACATATAGGTCTAAGTACAGACAATCTTCTTCACATGCTGTTTAATGCATGAATTCTGTGATGTGTGATAAATGGCTAAAACAACCCAAAATGTATTTTGATCAGGTTATCACTTATTTTTCCTCATCTAATAAACTTGCGAAAAACTAAACAGTGTCACCAAGTAGATCTACTGGATCAATTCTTCAATCATTATTATTGAATTCGAATTATTGTTGGATTCTATTCAGGAAACTACAGTTAACAACTGAATTAAATTATTCATACCCTTCCCAAGTTTTGAAATATTTAAATATGTGAAACCTAGATTTGTACTGATTAATATTTCTTGAGAATGTGACATATTAAAGTTTACAGTTACATCTAGAAGTATTTAATAAATGTCCTTTTTAAACCTGTCATTCTTGAGTTATGAGAAAACAAACATCAAAATAATTTTTAAAATCATTGCCAGAAGTCATGACTACCATTTAAAATTTGAACAAAATATGGAAATCTTTCTTCGATTGGGGATAATCATATAATGTTATTTGGAATGGTATAATGACATTATTAAAGCTTCTACCAACCTTGAATTTTGTGGGCAAGCTTTCGTCCACTCCTGTGGACTTTCTCAAGCCATGTGATCATAGTCACACGTTTTCTCAGCGCTGCCTGGTGTCCTGCGATCACTGGACCAAAAATAGGTGACAATAGGTATCCTCAGTCCCTGTTTAATGAAGGATTAATCCTGTTAATCCATATTGACTCTTTCACCTTTTTTGACCAGAAGTTGCTTTCAAAGTCAATGAGTGCATCATCCCATCCAATAATATGTCTTGTGTTGAGGGCATGTTCAGCTAAAGCTGAATGGGATGGCCGGGTTACGCATTCTGAAGGCTCTTATGTGTTCTTTCAATCGCTCTTTAAGAGTTCTGCCAGTTTCCCCCAATGGGTAACCGATCACTTGGATTGAGAAAGTCCACAGGAGTAGTCAAATGCTTGCCTACAAAATTCAAGGTTGGTGTAGCTTCAAAAATTATGTGATACCTTTTATAGCCCCCTCTGCACTAGTTTGGCATGGAGGGATTAGACCTCCCTGTGAGGTCACTTGCAGGTGGTTATCTCATCAAGTCAGCTCTCAATTAACATAAAAAAAAGGGCATCATGGGGGATGAACGGGTACTGCTTAGGCATTGCTGGCTGGAAAGAGGGCGCAAGTAGCTATAGGTAGTGCAGTGATGTTTTAGATTGCAAACTATCTGTTGATTTTGAGAATAACATCTATCTCTTGTTTCTCTTTCTCGTTTGTTCTTCTTTGCAGGATATCTCTGGTCTTGATGTTCACACTATGATCGTCTCAACTCACATGTGATTTCACAGGTTTGTGGTTTATTATCCTAATGAGTATTCAATTCGGTGTTGAAGGGATTGGGTATCTTTGTCTCAGATTCTGAAACAAAATCCTGGATTTAGCTCATGCTGCAATGATAATTGTAAACCTTTAGGTCAGTCAGGAACCCCATGACTTTTACAAGCCGATCGCCTGTTTGATTATCCAGATATTTATGATTGGAAATCAAAATCGAATTTGCGTTGTCCTAACGGTTTTTATAACACTACAGTCTATTGGGGAAAATGAGTATGGTAAAATCTATCATCCAAAGATTGTTACTTTTGACCTTAGCTTTCATGATGTGAAAGAGCTGTGGTCTTTCAAGCCATGTGTGTTTGTAGTCCCATATACCAACTTCCATGTGCAGTTCATGTGATTTTCCGCAAGATTAAATCAATTTCCTATCATTTTGATGACTGCGAAACCTGACATTGTACACCAATTCTGAAGCACCGCATAATCAACCTGTCCCCATTGCTTCTAGACATCTCTTTTAAAAATGTTATCACTTGATCAGAACTCAAGTTTTAAGTAGGCTGATAAATGTTTTTTTCTCTCCGTCTTTTGTGAGGCTTTCCAGTTTCCACCTGTCATTTTCAACTCAATTCTATCTTTTTTCAAATCAATCTCTTTGCCTAGGTAGGTTTTAAACTTTTAAGCCTCTGTTTGGATTTGTCCTCCTTTCAATACGAAGCTATCAGATTAATATCAAAGATTGAGATTTGCTGACATGTGACATCGTAGACTATGGGATAGTTTAACCAAAAAACACTTTGATTGCCTTCTTTGTCTCTCGATCTGCATGGTTGCTTGTTTGCCATACGTGCACCTTTGCACAAGACAGTAGGTAGTAATTGACAGAAGAACTGCTTTGTAGAACACAACAGCTTTTGCAAATAATTTCCATTCTTTATTGCCTCCCTTTGCAATCCTTTTTAACACTGTTATAGATTAATCTTGCATTGGAAACAGTTACGTAGCTGCAGCTGATTAAGAATGTGGGAAAATAACCTTTAAAAAAAAATTATACAAACATAGAGATTCATTAAGGAAATGCATTTGTCAATTATTTAAAGAAGAATTTGGAAGGAGACACCTCAATTGTCACAACGTCAAATGAATAAGAGGTTCAAATTCAAAGAAATGTTATACTATTACTGGTAACTAATTAAGGTAAATATTATTACATTATTATTTACAGTATATTCTTTAATGTTTCATCGAAACATGTTCATGTATATGTACCGGTACATGCATTTTCAGAAGTAAATGTTCTGTCTGTTTCTGAATTTGTTTTGGTTCGTGTTCTAAACTCTCAGATATGTTATTGAATACAAAAACACTGAATGTCAAAACAAACTGATTGGTTTACATGTAGGAGCTTGGCTCCACATATTAAATTGAACAAATATGATACACGTGTGTGTACATGCACTTAATATGCTGATATCAAAATATAATGAAGTATTTTGCACAGGCACCAAAGTGTGACTAATCTAGTTTTAATTACATCTAGGTTGTCTCTATGTCATCGATGTAATAAAGCAGACAAAATGGACATTATTAACATAAAGTGAATATATTACTTGCGTTTCTCTCTGTGTGTCTGTCTGTCTCTCTCTCCGTCTGTTTGTCTGTCTGTCTCTCTCTTGTTCCCTCTCTACTTCATATGCAATGTCACAAAGCAGCAGAAAAAAGACATTTAACACAAAAATGAATATATTAGTGAAGTTTCTCTCTCTGTCTCTCTTGCTCCCTCTCGACTTAATATTTGATGTAAGAAACCAGCAGAAAACAAAATTAATACAAAAGATGAATACCGGTATATAAGTTACATTTCTCTCACTCTCTCTCTACTCCATTCCCCCCTAGATGTCAAATTAGGCTAAATCCTTATACATGTATGTGTATTTGTACATATTTATTCATAATGGCTAATCACGTCCTTAAAGATAAACTTTAGTACTGGTAATGCGATTGCATTGTGAAAGAAAAGGTGTGGAAAGGATCAGAAACAGTTGATCATGTAGCATGTAAGTATTGGTGTGCACTGCAAGGTTCTGGAGTCATCAAAATCATACTAAATTTGACCGAGTCTTGGTAAAGTAACAAGCACTGTACACAGAAAGCTATATATGGGACAACACACATGGTGTTGGGGCTAGTACTACCTTGATTTCCTTGTCTTTCTATGCTCATTACTCAGCCAGTATACATTTTCTTCCAAAATTGTTTGGCACATGTCATTTATTTGTAATCTTGAACATTCAGTGTGTTTCGTTTGATTCTGTGAGAATTAATTATTTTTTTTTTTACCAGAACTGGAGTTTATCTTTAATAGCTTCCGATGTTTATATTTAGGAACCATGCTTCAGTGATGAAAGAGTTATTGTTATTAGGGGAGGTGTGACAATGACTCAGGCATGTTGAATGCAGATCGTCAATAAATTGGATGGAAATTTGACAGGGAAATGGACGAAGAGTTATGAAAACATTTATGACCCACCTCTACGGGCTTCATTGCCCCCCACCTACTTATATGACGTAGCGCATGATTGGACACACATAACAATCAGTTTAGCCTGGCGTTTCATTGTAGGAACTTGCGCACTGGTCGGTCATTGTGTGCAGTGAAGTCCCTTTGATCGCCGGCAAATATTCCAAATATTTCAAGTTCACTCATCTGGTATCAATGACGGTGACATGTTCATATACATGTAGGCAAGTCAACATAAGGCATGTAGAGGGCATTGCATTGAGGGGTTGTGGACGAATGCGACAAAAATGCCTTACACACCATTGAAGCGTCATTGAGAACGATGAAAGCAATTAAGCTCCAAGTTCTAAAGTATGATGAAAGTAATCTGATTATTTCGATATAATATATAGAGAGAGGAAGGGAGGTAGGGATGGATAAAGGGGGAGGGGACCCGGGACCGGTATATAAGAAGAGGGGGTGAAGAGGAAGGGCAGAGAGTGAGATAGAGACGGGGAGAGGAGAGAGAGAGAGAAAAGGAGATAGAGAGGGAGATAGAGAGGGAGGGAGGGAGGGAAGGAGGGAGAGAGAGAGAGGGAGGGAGGGAGGGAGGGAGAGAGAGAGAGAGAGAGACAGACAGAGAGACAGAGACAGAGAGAGAGAGAGAGAGAGAGAGGGAGGGAGGGAGAGAGAGAGGGGAGAGACAGAGACAGAGATACATGACACACGTACAGACAACCAAATAGAAGGAGAGCGTGAGAAACTCCAGTTTCATAGTGTGTTATCTAGAGAAGATCTGAATACATACATGTATACTTTAGCCTTTGGCTTGTCATTAACTCTGCAGTCCGTTCGCTAAGAATCTATTTAAATGTGTATTTTTTATGTAGTTCTCTGACTCTGTCTCTTTATCTCCATGAAAAAAAATTATTTAAATCATTTTGGGGGTAACTTTTCAAGCTTGCTTGCATGAATATAACACTCATTAATATGTTTTGCATTGAACTCTATGCACATTTTTGGGGCTTTTTTGGCATTTCTGGGGGCGAATTTGCCCAAGACCCGTGTATTTTTTCCCCGTTTCTCTCTCTTTCTCTCTCTCACTCCCTCACTTAACCTCTTCTGTATTACATGTAGCCTGTATACATGTCGCTTGAACTCTACACTGTGTATATCTTTTTACTCTCTTATATACCCTCCCCTCCCTTCTTTCTGTACAGGTAGCTCTAACTCTCTCTCTCTCTCTCTCTCTTTCTCTTTCTTTCTGCCCCTTTCTCTCTCTCTCTCTCTCTCTCTCTATCTCTCTAGCTCTCTCTCTCTCTTTTTCTTTCTTTCTTTCTGCCCCCCTCTCTCTCTCTCTTTCTCTCTTTCTCTTTCTTTCTGCCCCTTTCTCTCTCTCTCTCTCTCTAGCTCTCTCTCTCTTTTTCTTTCTTTCTTTCTGCCCCCCCTCTCTCTCTCTCTCTCTCTCTTTCTCTTTCTTTCTGCCCCCTTTCTCTCTTTCTCTCTCTCCCTCCTTTCTATGATCTGCTTTGCATGTACACTGTATGCGTGATAAATCTTAAGGCCGTCTTTCAATGAATAATGGTTTCTTCATACGACCCTGGATGCCTTTATTACATGCATGCATTGTTATGAAAGATATGGGGATTTTACAGTGTAAGCACCTATACATTGTTCACTATATCCTCCATGCAGTTTGAATCACTGCATGTTCCTCAATAGTCATGATAAGAAAAGATGCATAATGCAATTTCAGACATCTCTGTCAGTGTCACTCGATTATTACCTTTATTATTATATACTGTAGTTAAACCTGTCTATACCCACCGCCCAAGGGAAACACAACAAAATGGTCTTTGTAGACAGGTGGTCTTTGTAGACGGCTCCTTTATTACATGTTTCAATGAGAAACCATTTTCAAAGCAAACAGAAAATGTGGTTTTTGTAGACAGGTGGCCACTAAAGCAGGTTTTACTGTATTACAAACTATTTTCTGGCTTGAGTATGGACACCCATTAAATGCTATTTTCTGACTATTCTGACATAAATTTGACATGTACCAGTACCTTTTTCTTGCAGTTATACTTCTGTTCTTTGCCAAATGGTACTTCTACCAATTACATTGTAAAGCTCATAATTCCACGTTCGCATTTTATAAATATGGGAACCCAAAATGTAGGGGCCTCTCTTTGTAGACTATTATAAATCTGCGTATTTCATAAGTCAAGTTCCTGATATCTACTGTAGCCCTTCAATGTATATTGCTGTAGTTGGCTAGACGTGTTATGGACAAAAATATATTTCTGGAACATTACACAGCAATGATGTCAATTAAATTCCTCGCCTTTTTCATACAATAGGAAAAAAGGAAACACTACATGACGTATGCTCAGAATGCCTTCACAGTAAGTGCAAACCTTGAAAACGGAAACCGAACACAAACAAAAAACATGAGAACACTAGAGAGAGAGAGAGAGAGTAAGAGAGAGAGAGAGAAAGTAAGTGAGTGAG